TGGCTGGATTTCAGGTTCTTAGAGCACTTTGTAGAATTCTGAAACAGTCATCTTTGAGCCTGCTCTATGTTTATTCCTTTATTTATTTTTGGAATGCTTTTTCTGACAAAGGGACACTGAGGCCCAGGAAAGCACCGGTGACCGAGTCACTGGAGCACCAGACCAGCGTTTATACTAGAATGGCTGACACTGAAGTTGGTTGTTCCGACATTGTCCTCGTCTCCCCAGAGCAACTAGCTGTGTTCCCTCTTGGGGGCACAGTCAGAGTTATATGTGGTAGGAGCCAAATTTGGGCTCTGGGGAACAGGTGCTGGCTGTTCTTGGTGGTCCTTGGTGAGGAGCATGTTTTCCTAGTTTGTTTAGGTTCCTCCCTCCGATTGCTGCCCTAACTTTGTCCCACCCGTGTTTCTACTTGAATGCTTCCTCTAACTTTTAAAAAACTTTGTCCCAGGTAGTATTACACATGAAAGCATGGATTTGGTGTGTATGTTATAGTTCTATGGATGTTTATCTTCTTGGGTACCACAGAGGGTTAGGGAACGGACACTAGTTGTCCATCTGAACCCATCCAGAGGCCCTTGCAGAGCCGTCTGCATCTGAAAGGTCACCCTTTGAAAACTCAGCAGAACAGCTCCTTTCTACACACCTGGGTGGTTTTACACACCTGGGGCTGGCCTACATACCTGGGGTTCCTACACACCTGGGGTTGTCATGTGTCCGGAGCCACTCAGGGCCACCAGCACCACCACTCACATAACAGTATAAACCGACACTGAACGGACCCTTTAGCACAGGCTCAGCATCTGGTGCCTCTGGGCCTGTTGGCTTGCGTTTCAATCCTGGGCTCTACGGTTTCCGTCCTGTTGTAGTCTCCTCATGCCTCAGTTTCCTTCCGGGTTGGGTGAAGATGAGAACACTACCTGCCCCATCAGGTTGTTGGGAGAGCGCAATGAACAAGAAAACCTGGAAAGCCCTTGGAATAGCACACGCCGGTTTGCTGTCACGAGCCACTGTCAAGGCCTGCTGGTCTTCTTGAAGGTCTCAGCTAAAGCGGCTTCACAGAGAGGCCTTCGCGTGTCTACGATATATGTATATAATGTGTAGTATGTACAATATGTGTATATCATTTGTAGCATGTGTACCTACGATATGTGCATATAATGTGTAGTATGTAGAAAATGTGTATATGGTTTGTAGTATGTATAATATGCGTATGCGATATGTGAATATAACTTGTAGTGATTGATTTCATTGCATGCTCCTGCCACCCCCACCCCCACCCCCACCCCCACCCTCACTAGTGGGTCGGTTTCGTGCAGTCAAGGGTGAGGTCTATGGAAGCCTCTGGACCAGCTGGTTCATGGGCTGCTGAGAGCAGAAGTAGTTGTAGGAATGCGCGGTTTAAAGTGGCAAGGAGTGAGTCAGGAAACCTGGGGAAAGCTTCAGAGAACTTGACGTGAGATCCGTGATGCTGACATTTGCCTTAGAGGCTACAAAGTTGAACCCAGACCCACGACCCTTCAGGCGACTCCTTCTCATAGGCACCCAAGGTAGGGTCTCTGAGGCCGTACATGTTTATAGGTGCAGACAGCCTCATCTTTATCCTGCAGAGCTGCTGGTGGGTTTGAGCTTGGGGGTTAGCAGTCTAACCCATAACCTGGGAACACCACCACCAGGTCTCCAGAAGTCTAAAAGGAGGAGGCGTTGTACCCTGGGGTTGAAGAGGCCTAAAAGGACTTAACAGTACCTGTGGCTATTGCTCAGTCCTGTCTGGTTGATTTCAGCTGATCGTGACCCTCTGACAATAGAACCGTCCCTAGAGTTTTCCTGGCTGAATTTCTTGAAAGAAGCCGAGCAGCGGGCCCTGTGGGGAGCCTCTGGGTCAGCTTGACCTGGGAAACTTTTGTCAGCAGCTGAGTGCCGAAGTAGTTGCCTCATCAAACCATTGCCAGCAAATTGAATCTAACTTGTAGTGACTCTGGAGGGGAAGTAGAACCGCCCTGCAGGGTTTCCAGGGCTGTCAGGCGTCTTCCCACGTAGCTGCTGGTGGGTTCCAAGAACCAGCCCTGTACTCCCAGCCATCGCTTAACCACTGCTCCACCAGCGCGCCTGACCCTGCAGGTATCTCCAGGAAATCAAATTCGTTAGACACGTGGGCAGGCAGTGGAGGAATTTCCAGGCTTCAAAGCCATGGGCCCGGAGGGAAGGGAGAGAGTGACCTTCTGCAGGGCAGGGCCTGCCCACTGACAAGTACAGCCTGATGTAGGTAGAAGGTTAGGGACTGGTGTGGATACTGTGCTGGGCCCCCCCAGGGGCTCCAATTTTAGAGCACACTCGAATCACTGATGGGCTTGTTGAAACTGTGCCAGGCCCCTCCGCTTCAGTAGGCCCCAGAGTTTACCTTTCTACCGAGATCTGGCGACCGGATGATGTTGGTCTACGACACACTTTGGGGAACCCTGATCTAGGCATCGAAGGCTGAAGTTGCAGTAGTTGGCTTCACTGCCAGCTCAGCCCAGGTGTAGTGGGTGGGTTTTCTCAGACAGTCTCCCTGGGGACCGATGAGTCAGGAAGTTCCCGCCATTACACTTGGAATAAAATCCAAACCCCTCACCCTGGCCTTCAGCCCAGACCTTGCTCACCTCTGAGACCACTGCCTGTTGTCTGCCAGGCTCCGACTTCTGGCTGCATCACTTTCTACCTGTTTGTCGGAAGCCTCACCTGTGGAGTGCCTCCTTATTAATTCTTTACTGTGTGGGGCCAGCGTTAGCTGAGCAAGTGTGCCTTTGGTCCACAGCTGGTTCACAGAGACCCTGAGTAGACACCAGCTATCATTAATATAACTAATCCCTTGTCAAAGGATTCCATGGCTTCCCTTTGCACTTATAACAACATCCAGTGTATTAGTAATATCATCTGGCCCTCAGGCTTTAGGCTTCCCTGGACTAGGCTATGGTGGTGGGACCACCGCAGACCCCCTCTTCTTTCCTTCTTCCGCGCGCCTACCCCACTCCACTCCATCCTTACTTCTCCCTGCAGGCATGTTTCCGCTTTATTTGGCTGCTAACTTAGAAACGACCCTGTAGAGACCCATTCCCTGTAACCTATCTCCCCTTATCCTTGTTCCTGGTTACATAGCAACCGGTTTGAAGCACAGCAACCTGGCCCAGCCTTTGGGTTTCCTGGGTTGTTAGTGGCTTATGTGTTGGGCTGCTAGCAAGGTCGGCAGTTCGAAACCACCATCAGCTCCTTGGGAGAAAGATGAAGCTTTCGTCTCCCATAGAGATGTGTAGTCTTGGACAGTTATGCTCTGCCCTGAAGGGCCCCTGGGAGTCGATAGCCAATCAAAAGGGCCCCTGGGAGTCGATAGCCAATCAAATGGCT